GACATGGTGGCTCCACACGCAGATCCGTGACCTCAAGACTTAACCCGCACATGCCGCTCATCGCAAACGTGCCGCTCGCGTTACAGAAGCGCTCGGACACGGCCGCCAGCTGTTCGACCAGATCGCTCTCGGCGCTCGTCGGTCGCAAAGCTCACGCGGGGCGCTGGCCCTCGGAAAAGGCCCTGAGCTCCCATGGAATTTCCAGCAAAGCTTCGCTTTGCCAAAAACAACGGCTCCAGGCTCAAGAACTTGCCCCTTTTAGCATTGGAGCGCACCTCGCCCAAGTTCCACATGCTCCTCTGGCCTGGCGTTGTCGTCCTTTTCTGTCTCCAATTCAAACTAGACGACGAGTGGCCCGGAAGCATAGAGGCAAGTTGATGCAGGTGAGGTAACTCTCGCAAAGTTAGCATGAGGAGTTGCCTGGCAGGCGAAGCAATTCTCAAAAAGTTGGCATGAGCAGCTGGCAGGTTAAGTAACTCTCGAATAGTTGGCTGGCAAAGTTGGCGGGTGAAGTAATTCTCGCAAAGTTGACATGAGAAGTTGGCAGGCGAAGTAACTCAAGAGAAAAGTTGGCATGAGAAGTTGGCAGGTGAAATAACTCTCAAAGAGTTGGCATGAGAAGTTGGCAGGTGAAGTAACTCTCGAAAAGTTGGCGTGAGAAGCTGGCAGGTGAAGTAATTCTCGAAAAGTTGGCACGAGAAGATGGCGCGTGAAGTAACTCTCGAAAAGTTGGCGTGAGAAGCCGGCAGGTGAAGTAACTTTCGAAAAGTTAGCATGAGAAGTTGGCAGGCGAAGTAATTCTCGAAAAGTTGGCGCGAGAAGTTGGCAGGCGAAGTAACTCTCGAAAAGTTGGCAGGCGATGTTGGCAGGTGAAGTACCTCTCGAAAAGTTGGCATGAGAAGCTGGCAGGTGAAGTAATTTTTCGAAAAGTTGCCACGAGAGGTTGGCAGATAAAGTATTTCTCGAAAAGTTGGCATGAGAAGTTGGCAGGTGAAGTAATTCTCGAAAAGTTGGCAGGTGAAGTTGCCACGAGAGGTTGGCAGGTAAAGTATTTCTCGAAAAGTTGGCATGAGAAGTTGGCAGGTAAAGTAATTCTCGAAAAGTTGGCATGAGAAGCTCGCAGGTGTAGTAACTCTCGAAAAGTTGGCATGATAAGCTCGCAGGTGAAGTAACTCCTCGAAAAGTTGGCACGAGAAGTTGGCAGGTGAAGTAACTCTCGAAAAGGTGGCATGAGAAGCTGGCAGGTGAAGTAATTCTCGAAGTTTCGGCATGAGAAACTGGCAGGTGAAGTAATTAACCCTCAAAAAGCTGGAGCGGCGGAGGCGCTCCGCGTGCTACATTTGCAATTGACAGTTGCGATTTTCCAGCCATTTGTATCTAAAAGTTGCGATTTTCCAGCCGGAGCTGCGGGAGCACGCTCCGCATACTACGTCTGTACTTAAAAGTTGCGATTTGCCAGCCGGAGCTGCAGGAGCACGCTCCGCGTACTACGTCTGTACTTAAAAGTTGCGATTTGCCAGCCGGAGCTGCAGGAGCACGCTCCGCGTACTACGTTTGTACTTAAAAGCTGCGATTTTCAAGCCGGAGCTGCCGCGGACCAGGGGGGAATCGAACCCGAGACCGCGGGATTGCGAAAGCAGGCGCGCAAACCACGAGACAACTTCCAAAGGCCGTTTCGCGAGCAAGAAAATCGCACGGCGCCACAGCGAGAGCGCTTCGACACGCACGATCTCCGCAGAGGGTTCATCGGGCTCAAGACAGATGCGCACGGCGCCACAGCGAGAGCGATCCGACACGCACGATCTCCGCAGAGGGCTCGCCGCGACCAAGACAAATTCGCACGGCGCCACAGCGAGAGCGCTTCGACGCGCAGGATCTCCGCAGAGGGTTCGCCAAGGTCAAGACAAATTCGCACGGCGCCACAGCGAGAGCGCTTCGACACGCAGGATCTCCGCAGAGGGTTCGCCGCGTCAAGACAATTCGCACGGCGCCACAGCGAGAGCGCTTCGACACGCACGATCTCCGCAGAGGGTTCGCCAAGGTCAAGACAAATTCGCACGGCGCCACAGCGAGAGCGCTTCGACACGCACGATCTCCGCAGAGGGTTCGCCAAGGTCAAGACAAATTCGCACGGCGCCACAGCGAGAGCGCTTCGACACGCACGATCTCCGCAGAGGGTTCGCCGCGCTCAAGACAAATTCGCACGGCGCCGCAGCGAGAGCGCTTCGACACGCACGATCTCCGCAGAGGGTTCATCGGGCTCAAGACAAATTCGCACGGCGCCACAGCGAGAGCGCTTCGACACGCACGATCTCCGCAGAGGGGTGCGTTTCGTAAGCTCCCGTCGGGCCTACCCCCGCCATAAAAAGAAGAAGAATTAAGAGTCGAGATGTGAAGGTAGAACAGAAAAGTTAGCTTGTGTTTTTAGGATAGTGAAGTAACACCCGACAAATTAGCTTGTGCTTTTAGTAGAATGAGATAACAGCCGAAAAGTTGACATGAGAAGTTGGCAGGTGAAGTAACTCTCAAAAAGTTGACATGAGAACATGAGAAGTAGGCAGGTGAAGTAACTCTCGACAAGTTGGCATGAGAAGTTGGCAGGTGAAGTAACTCTCGACAAGTTGGCATGAGAAGTTGGCAGGTGAAGTAACTCTCGACAAGTTGGCATGAGAAGTTGGCAGGTGAAGTTGGCAGCCGCTTTTAGAAGAAGAACCCTTCGCAATGCTTCCGGGAAAAAGGTTGTCCGAGCATGCGAAGCTGCTTGAGCCGCGCCGTCGCCTGTCGTGCTTCGTCGTGGTGATGTTGATCTTTAAAAAATGCCGAGACTGCTGGAGCTGTTTTGCGGCACAAAGTCGATTGGCCGAGCTTTCAAGGCGGCGGGCTGGGAAGTCGTCTTCCTGGACATCGGAGCCCACGATCCATCTAGAACTGGGACTACGCTCTGTTTCCGCCGGGGCACTTCCGCTGGTCTGGGCCAGTCCGCCCGTGACGAATTGAGGAGGGCGACGCGCTGGTGCTCAGCGCGCTCAAGATCATAGCGCGCTTCGACCCGCTCATGTGGGTCATCGAGAATCCGGCCGGGCCGCCGGGCAAGGTCGTACTCCAGCTTTCCGGGACCGAAGAAGGGTGAGTGCAGCACCGTGCCGTCGCCCAGCAGCCGGCCTGGAAGCAATACGAGCAGTGCCGTATTGCTTCCACAAAAAACTCCGGGAGCGAGTCGGTACTGCCGGAATCGCTCCCGGACTCACCACCTGGCTTCCCGTCTTCGAATTTGGGAAGTAATGCAAAAGGGCGAATGGGGAAGATCAAGCTTTTCCCCACGACCGAGTACACCAGCAAGCAAGCCTCGGACCCCGTGATACTGGTGCCGTGCGCCGGCATCTTCCTCCAACTTGGCAAGTGCAAAATAGCCGCCCAAAGTGGGGGCAGTTTTTCTCACCCTAAACAGCTCTGTTGCCACATTGGAACCTCAGATCTTAACAAGGCTAGGGCAGTTCTAGTCAACAACGCTAGGCTCAGAAATAATTTTCGCCGTGGGCGAAACCATCGCCAAGACAGGATTTCAACGCTTGGGGTTTTGTGTTCCCCCGTGTTTTAATCCTGTTCGAATCTTCAGCCGCGTGGCCGCTTTTGCTTCAAGCATTTTTTGAGGGACCGGTTTAGCGGGTTCGATCCCTCGTCCGCTTTTTACAAAGCCCACCCACCCACCCTGTCAGTACTCAGGTGGTTCACCTTGGCGAATAAGGCTGGCAGCCTTGATAGGCCTGGCATTGCAGCCGCATATTGTGCCAGCGTGCTTCTCCCACGTACGCGGCAGCCAGGACACTGCGAGGACGCGTTCTTCCGGCCTGTCCTTTCGGACTCCGCGAGACAGAGAGGACGCGTTCCTCACAGTTGGCACGAGAGCACGCGTTGCTTCATGATCATTCTAACTCAATAGGACTTGCATTGCGTTTGCACATTGGGCCAGCATGCGCGTTCAAGTGTGGTCTTTTGGCCACTGCATGCGAGGACGCATTCCTCCGGCATGTGCTCCAGTCCGAGAAGTGAAGCTCATTAGGTCCCATTCCATCAGCGCACGGTGCCAGCTTGCACTTTCTGCTGCGTGTGGTTTTTTGCGCCAGAGCACATGCGAGGACGCATTCCTCCGGCATGTTGTTCCGGACTCAGTCCGACACCTGAGGACGCATTCCTCAGTATCTCGCACGGAGCACGCGTTGCTTCGTGTGAGACACAACATTACAGTTATCCTTTGAGGACGCAATCCTCATTTTTTCGCACACAAGCTGAACGCGTTGCTGCTTGAAGTACCACAGTACCTCCAGTTATGTTTCACACCCCTGGGTAACACACCCTGTGAACAGGTTGAACACGCTTTGTTAACCTTGGGGGTATATGTGCAGGCTCCGCAGAGGGATGCAGGACAGGGGATGGACACGCGTTGTCGTCCCTCCTGCATCCTCGAGCCTGGACTTTTGAGCAACGCCAAATAAAAAGGAGCAGGGCGATTCGGTCGATCGAGTTGTGAGTTCCTCTCCCCTTTTTATTACTGGTCCCCTCTTGGCTTGAAGCAGTGAACAGGATTCTAACGCGCACTTTTCTCGCTTCGTGGGTTCTCTTTTGTGAGGGTTGTTTGGGGTCAAGCTAGGAGCAGTGCAACAGGTCTCAACAGGTTTGTTGTGTAACGGTAAAGGAAAGCGCTGGACGTCAATACCATTCCCCGTTTTTCACCTGGGACTGATGTGGACTTGGTAGTTCGCAGCGCAAATCGCAAATCATGACATTGTTGGCGCGCTGAAGCGCTTGCGAGAGTACCATGCAACCAGCTGAATATGCATGTGCTGCGTGTCGTAGCAATATTGGTTTCAAAGCGGCTTTCGCTTGAGAACAGTACGTCCAGGATGTGGCGCTCACTTCATCATTTGCTGCCGTGAATTTTCCAGTGGGATGGCCCGATCAATGTTCCGGTGCCGCATCGTGAGTTGTTAAAGGGTCCACATGGGTTTCGGCGGTTTTCTCTTTCGCTTGCAGCCCGCCCGATCCGAGCCATGGATCCTGGCAACGTTGAACGGTGAGGCCAAAGACAAGTCAAAAAAGGATGTGACGAAACAGGTTGGGGTGCAAGTCCTTCGTTTTTTGTTTGCCCTTGGGTGATACGGTTGCGATTGGTGCGGATGAGTATGTGAATGGCGTGTGTGTCGCAAGGCCTATGCCTCACTTGGGGGATTCCAGCTATGGTGACAGGTTTTTGTCCGCCTGCTATTCGAAGACTCGGCAAATGACCCTTTCGCTTGGCCAGGACACTGGCTGAGTATGATGCCCGAGTGGGGCCTCGGGTTGCGGCCTTGCTTGGAACTCGCCTGGAAGCTAAGACGCTTCTGCTTGCAGGCCAAGCGCCGGCCTTCCGCCAGCGAGGCCGCTGGTTGTATTTTGGAGTAGACACGTCTGAGGCAATACATAGACTTGCGGGTGTGCCGGCCGCACAACGATTTGGTTGCCTGCCATGGCAAGGTCCTCGTTTTGGTGATGGCCAGCCACTCCTTGCACGAGCCTCGATGCCAGTGACTGCAGTGAATGTGTTGCCGGTCAACTAGTATACGTAGTGTTGCGTATGTTGAACGCTGCTCCAGGCAAGATAGGGTTGCACTGTTGGAACACACCTGGTGCCCTCCTCAGCTTTGCTGAAACTCTTGAACCGCAAAGAGACTTGACCCCATGAGGGCAGACGTGCAGATGCAGCGAATTTACTTGGTGGATGATTGGCTGAACACAGCTCCACGAGAGAGGCGCCCATAGCTTCTGGGCCTTTGGACCGGTGTTGAAAATGAAACTGCAAGGCAATGGCGGCCGGCTGTGGCGTTGCAGTCGCCGGGCAGCTTTGGTGTGGAGAGTTCTTGGGCCAAGATCAGAAGGTTTTGGGTCAGAGCATGGCTTCCGTGTGACACGTGCGGGATGTGCGGGATCATATCGGAGGCTTGAACTCGGGCTGAGGCAATTATTGGGATGCGCAAAGCCGGCAGCTGGACTTCATGCGCAGCCACCCAAGCGTGACGTGCTTAACGAGAACTCGTTGCCAGAACTTGCAAATCCAATTTGACCAAAGTATGCAGTGCTTTGGCGGGGTACTTGTGTTGCATGTGAGCGTGAATCAGTGCAGCCAGGTGGAAAGCTTGGCCTCCCCTGTCCAGCCCAATTGGATCATGCTGGCAGATGACGACACCTTTGTCCACGTGGATGCCCTTTTGGACTTTGTGGGGAACTACGACCCACATGTCCCTGCACTTTTTGGCTATGTTCTGAGTGATGCTCATGTCCTTGGCTACGATTACCCTTGTGGTGGTGCAGGCATGCTATTGTCCGCAGGAGCGTACGACATTTTGGCGCCTCGACTTTTGTCGGAGTGCCCGTTGCTCGCTTTCAATGACTTGACCCTTGGCTTTTGTTCGCATTCGCAGGGCATACCGTTGGTCCACCATCCTGGCATGCATTGTGCGCCAGACGTAAATCGTGCCATGCGCCCGGGAGAGAATCTCATGGACATTCAAAAGGGCATTGCAGTTCATCGTCTCATTGGCTTTCAGAGCTTCAAGGAGCTCGTCGGAACCCTTGACATGCTGAAGGGTCAGCTTCGAGCCCTGTTGCAGCACCGGTGCCTGCTGGCCGCGCGCTCAGGGAGTGATGACGATCCGCTGGACTCGCGACGCTTCTTTTGGTCTGTGCCAGCCTTCGCGGATGCCGTGGACGCATGCCGGCAGCACTCGCCCAGGGCGGCTCATGCGGTGTCGCTGCATTTGGAGTTCCTTCTGCTGGGCGGCGTGCCGGTGGCTGGGTACCACCGGGACCGGCACGTGCCCCTGCTCGCAGCTCCCGCGTCGCGGCGGACACGGTGGCCCGAGTGGCTGGAGCAGCTGCGGCACCTGGACTGCAGTGGGAAGCCTCTCGCTTGGCGGGCGACCTGGGGCTCAGCACCACAGCTGTCCCCGCTGCAGGTGGAGGCTTCAGGCCCATCTTTGGCGGCCAATGCGCAGGTGGAGGCCATACCAGTCGCGAAGCGACCCTCATGGCTCGCCCAAGTGAAAGACGCAGCCAGGGCCTTGCCGAAATCGGCGCCGGGCCACCAATGGATTTTTGTGGACTTCTCGCCTTCTTCCACTTTCCTCAACGTCTTTGAGTCGGTTCGCGTGCTGCGCTCCCTGTCAAGCCTACATCATCCAGGTGGCAGTGATAAAACCAACCCTTATCTCCAGGACGTGCGAGGGCCCGTGGATTTGGGCGCTGAGGCTCCACCGCCTCTGGCCGTGGCCTATGAATATTTCGACCTCAACGTGGAGCAAGCGGCGGGGCTGTGGATCAACGGAGTGGCTGCCCGGAGACTCCTTCGATGTCAGCCGTTGCGGCACCCCATCCATTTGGACCCAGAGGCCCATGCCAACGACTGGCCTACGGCAGAGGAGCGGATTGCCTTGATGTGGCACAACGCCATTGCAGTGGACGTCTTCCGAACCCTGCGCTTTTGCGGTGTCATACCTTTGCACTCAGCTTCCATGGCCGCGTGGCTGCAGATGTAAGTTCTTCTAAGGCTTCGACAGTTTGAACCCTGGAGTTTGGCGAGCTGGGGCAGGGGGCAAAATTAGGAGCAAGAATGATGCGGCTGAATACGGGGCGTGTTCAACCCTCAAACAATGATGTGAAGCCTATCGGGCTTGCCATCTTCCCTGCTGCTAGAATTCGGCAACTTGCAGTCGTGCCTGACTCAAACTTCAAAGTCTTCTCCCGAAGAGGTGCTAGTTGGCCTCGTTCTGAAGGCACTCAGCCATGGCGAATCATTGCAACCAATCATGTGCGCAGTATAAGCGTGCACTGTTGTCAGGTTCCCCATGCATTGTCCTACCTGCCGTATTCAACATACCGCAGATCACATTCTCCGCTGGGTACTGAGATTGACGGCCTTGGCACGTGTTCCGCACCATAAGCCTGGAGGGAGTGCTCTTGCCATAGTCTGCACTAGGAAAAGCACTGCTGGCTCCAGTCTCGCACTTCAAGTCACACTTCAGGTCGGTGGCTACAGCAATGTCCATTGGCAATGTGGAATCCCGTGCCCTGAGCCAGCACGCCATTAAAGCTAACATGTTTCTCGGAATATTTGAATTTCAGGTGAGCAGATGCGGGGCTTGTCGCAGTTGGCCCGGGCCTGAGAGAGCAAAGAGAGCTATCCGTTTTCAGCTGGGTCCCAGGTGACCCGCCGCGCTTGCGCCAAGCCGCAGCCCTCCAGGCCGGTCGCCCAAAGTGGCCTCGGATCCAAACGAAGCGAAATAGGTGTGGGTCAAAAGTAGGCACCCAGAATGGAACCCTGGTAAAACCTGCGGTCCCCTAGTGGTTTAATTTTGACCCATAAGCAAATGGTATGGGGTTGGGATCCGATGCAGGTGGAAGTTGCCCGTGCAGATGCGGATCCTGGGAGGCACAATCAAGCAATCAATCAAAGCACTTAGGCCTGCACACCGGAGAGTCACGTTTCAGGCGCAAACCTCAGCAGCTGGAGCTTGCCAGGTATCGCTCTGAGAGCAGCTTCTCTTGCGAGATTCTCTGGTGGCCGATCTGAAGCGAGGCGGACGCTTTTTGGGCCAGTCCCTTGTTGCCTTTCGCTCGGAGCACTTCTTGCCAGATGCACAAGCCGCAGGCGGGGCAGTCGGGGAGACAGGCAGGCAGGCCTTTGAGATTCGGCGAGGTCTTGCCAATACGCCCTCAAACGATCCGCGGGTGATGTGAAAAGAGCCTTGGCGTTTGCTTGCAGCATAGGGCGAGAAAGGACCAGACATGCAGTAGCCGTTTTTTAGAACCAGACATGCCAACACATCACGACTACCTTCAGTTCTTTTCTTCCTTCTTTCCCGATGCTTTTGCTCGTCGCCTCGAAGAATTTGAGCCCAAGTCCTGAATTGCATGGGACTCGGCGCCATGTGCGACTGCTTTCCCAAAGCACCCAAGGCACCGGGGCAAAACAAGCGGCCGCCTCCGCGCCCCGAAGATCTCGGCCCGCGTCGCATCGCGACTGTGAAACGGACCCGGAGGCCACGGTGCAAAGAACAGTCACAGCAACGAAATCCAAGGCCAACTGGGAAAAGGCCTTCAGAGTGCGCAGCACCAAAGAGTTGTGCGCCTGGCAGCTCTGATTCTGAAGACTGGGTTCAGCGCGTTCAACATTCAGCAAGCTCGCGAAGCTGGTGCCGGTGCAATCAAGATCAGGGGCGAAAAGGAACCAAAAACGCAGCTAAACCAAGGTATCTGCAGAATGCCAGGCCATCACTCTGGGCCCAAATCCCCAAATCCTAGTGGAAGACCACAACACCAAGGCAGAGATTGTGGCACCTTCCATTCGCCACACATAGCTGCCCCAAATACATGGCTTGCCCCAGGAGCTGCGCAGGCTGCCAGCCTGAACCCTTTCCTCAGATCTCCCGAGCCTTTTGCAGGCCACAGGCAGGAAACAAACAGGAAACTGCAAGACCTTCATGTTGGCAGAGCGTGACATCGCTGCAGGAAAGCATGAATAAAGAGCATCTACCCTGTAGCCTAGCACACTCAATATGTCGATATCTAGAGTCTTTCGCTGCGTGAAGCCTTCAGGCTATCCGCGGGCCAGGCTGGCAGTCTTCCGCAATTTCTTCCGGTGCCTTTTGCTCGTTGCAGCATCGCCGTTCGTTTCCTTGGGAAACTTAGCTGCGGGCCACGCGCTGCTTCTGGACCACAGCCAGCTGGCTTAAGTCCCCGAGCTGCTTCAAGACCACGGGCTTCATGTCTGAGTCTGCTCCTCCCGACGCCTTGGCCTTTATTTGCTGATGGTCCACTTCTAGCTCCTCGCTCTCTGGGGCCCTTTGCCGGCCGCTGCTGGAGCTCCGGTTGCCAAGGGTCTTCTGAGACTGTCTCGCATTCAAGGCCAACGCAAGCGGGTAATGGTGTGGCGCAATGGAGCGTTCTGATTTCAGGGTGGGTTGATATTCGGCTTTTGGAGCTTCGTTTGAATGCGAGGGAATTCGTTTCAAGCCTGGACGTCACACCTTTTCCAACGATGTAGACAGCGAATTTCCGCATGCCCAGCTCTGAAAATCTTGCTGATTTCCATCTGTTCGCTCATTGCGCTGTTTGCTTGGCTTTCACAAGCCAATGGGCGAGGTGCCAGTGTTTGCTGCTTGGCGGACTGCCACTTCCCTCAGGTTATCTGATCGGAGCTTACGTTGCCCAGGTGAGAGCGATGAGAGGCATCCGCGAAGTTGGGGTCTTGTCCCCTCAGGTGAGCATGGGGCAGTGCATTCCTGCAGCGTTTTGGGTTTTGCGAAGAGACTTTGTCTTTCCGTTCGGAAGGGGAAATTGCTCGACTCGCTGGCGTACTCGCACTCTTCAGCATGATGGCCACATGGTGTGGACATGATAGGCGCGTGGCGCCTTTCTGGCCCGCGTTCCACGGTGCAATCTGCGCCAGTTCTGCCTCCTGTGATGGAGTCTTTGGCGAACTTGAGCCAAGATATGGAGCGTTGTCATGCCAGTTTTGATGCGTTGATTGGCCAAGTTTGAGGCCTGAGTGTATAGGACAAGCTTGCGCGGAGGCGTCCTTGAGGCGCAAGAACCACAGGAGCCCCACGTGGATGTGGACATTACGATCGCCGCAGATTCCAAGACGGCCTGGTCACGCTGCCGAAAGTATTGTCCTGGCTGGGGCAGCAGCAGCAACAGCAGCAGCGTCAGCAGCAGCATCAGAAGCAACAGCAGCAGCAACAGCAATAGCGTCAGCAGAAGCATCACCGCCAACAGCAGCAGGTCCGCCAGCAGCAGCAGCAGCAGCGGAAACAACGGCAACACTGCCGAACACTATGACCGGGAAGACCACGACGACGACGCTGCCAGGAGCTGATAACTCAAAAAACGCCGACCACAACGCTGACCGCAGTGCCAATGACAAGGACGCGACGACGCAGGACGCGACAACAGGACGACACGACAACGTGACGACCCAACGACCCGACGCATGACGCCGCGATGACGACGCCGACGACAACCGCGACAAGGACCACGACCGCGACCACAGCCACCAACCACCACCACCAACCACCACCAACAACCACCACCAACCACCAACCACAAACCACCACCAACCACCACCACCAAGCACCACCAAGCACCACCAAGCACCCACCAACCACCACCAACCACCACCAACCACCACCAACCACCACCAACCACCACCAACCACCACCACCAGCCACCACCAACTACCACCAACCAGCACCAACCACCACCCACCACCACCCAACACCACCCACCATCAGCAACCACCAACCACCAACCATCACCAACCACCACCACTAGGACAGCCACCGCAACAACAGCTGCAGCAGGAGAAGCAACAGTAACAGCAACAGCAACATGCACCATGCGCCATTTTGGACATTGAGTTTTTGCACTTTGATATGCATGTTGCATTGCGTGGAGTATTGAAGGCGCCCGAGGCTTGGCCTGTCAGCTTTTGTTGTTTGTTGACGTTGTCGACAATTCTTTGACCTTATTCGCTTACGCAGCACAATTGACCGTTGATTGTGTTACATGACACAACATCTTTGTTTACAAACGAGCTGACATGTGTGCGCGAGGCAACTTTGTTGGATCTTTGTCACACTTATCAACATGCCTCTCGGATATCGACATCATGCGAGCGTTTCCACAAAGTGATATTGACTGAGGAGGGTCCAATCTGAACATGGCACGGCCGGGCAGTGCCAAATGGCACTTTGTGTACTTGTAAACAAACAACTCTTACTTCTCAGCGGGGAAGAACCTGCAAGCCTTATGAGCAGTGCTCACGATTTGGTGTTGTCAAGTTCTCGGCTCAAGCCCCCGAAACAGCTGTAAAGCAAAAACAGTTGCATCATGGCTATGGACAAATGGACTATTATCTCACGGGAGCCAGCGCTCGCATGTGCTCGCCACTGAATTGAAGGGTTTTTTGCGAGTTGTTTTGTTGGCCAGAGAGTTCAACCGCCGCATCAACGACGGTATGTCAGCCCCTCCTGCGGATCGCTACGAGGCAAGGCTACGCCAGTTGCGCACGATGCTTCGGGCTCTGAATAGTGCGCTTGCGACACCCTGCATTTGTCTGGACAATACAAGTTTTGGTCGGTCACGGAGCCTGATAGTGTGCGGCCGACAGCCCAAAGCACTGCAGGTCCGGAGATCGCGGATTTGCAACTCAGTCAAAGGGACCCTTTACATAGTTGCAGTGTGGTTTGTTTACACTAGACAAATCGCACACTAAGGTCACGAACAACACAACCGCGCTGATTCGAACGTCCCTCGCCGGTAAAAGAGACAGCGCAACAATGTTGACGCTACTCACAGCAAAAGCTGTCTGAGTTCCATGGCAATGCCAAAAGTGACTTTTTCCTGAGAAAAATGGAAGCAAGGAAAACGCGCACGTCCAATCCAGGCTATCACACGAAATTATCAAGCCAGCATCAATTTCCAAACATCATCAGCAGCACTGGAGACCAAAGCTGGGGATGCCGGGGATGCAGAGGGCCAAAAGCTTTTTGCAAGTTTCCCACAGGACAAGCACACACACCCACACACACACACACACACACGCACAGCAAACAGGACAAACACGTTTCAAGTGGAAAGTGATGATGCTGGGGATGTGTTGAATCAAGTGCGCATTTGCAGTAGCTCAAAAATATAGAGCGAATCTAGGCAAATTGCAACCTTCGATGCATGTGGACGCACCCCCCTTTGCCAGAGGTCTAGACACAACGCAGGTTCTTTGCAGCGAAAGCCGGGAAAAGCTGAGCGGATTTGCCAGCAATTGCTGCCAGGTGCGTTGTTTTTGGTTTGTTTTTCTAGCTTTGTCTTCTTTAGACCACGGCAAACACAAGCTGCAGGACCCAGTTGCCACTTTTCATCCAAACCCAGCGTTATGAGATTGCCGGGCTTAGGGACTTTTGAGCGAATCCTCAAAACAACCATCAGGCTTCCGACCAAGCAATCCTCTGCGCAACTCCTTGGAGTTTCCCTAGCCCATCCTCCTAAAATCATTATTTTGGACGGTTTCTGGTTGTCAAAGTCCGGAAATGGGGGTTGTTTCTGATGTTACCTCGCAACTTAGAGGCTGACTTGGATCATTGGGTCAAAATGAGGCTATGTCCCAGGATCAAACTTAAGTTTTTGTTTCTTCTTTTTCTTCTTTTAACCCTAAACCCTAAACCCATGTTGTTTTTCCGGGGGGGTTTACACCCGGAAGACCTGCTCAAGCGCCAAAAGACCGCCTTTTCGCGAGGCCACGCTGGCCGCGGAGCTCGAGGCCTTGCACGGGCGGCTGCTCAGCGAGCACCGCAAGGCCCCGACCTTCGGCTTTCGGCCGCTTTGGTCAGATGGGTCAAAAAGGCTAAGGGCACCGCGGGTTTTTTGTCCATGCTGCCACTTGCCGGGGTTCCAACTTGGGCACCTCTTTTTTTTTGACCCACGCCCAGATCCACAATCCAAACCCGGGGATTGATCTGGTTAGTAAGGGGCAGTGCCAGCCAGAAATAGGTGCAGATGTCCGGCTTCATAATTCTTTGGTTCTGGGACGATTTTAATACGGGGTTTTGATTGTGACTCAGATGGCCAGAAGAAACCCAAGCATGGGGGGGGGGGGTGATTTTGAGGATGTTTGCTGACCAAGTTTTAACATCCTCGTTTTGTTTCTGGCAGCCATCATCGAATTCATGGCTTTTCGCCA